CGATGAGCTTAACAAATATGGAGCGATCGATAAAATCAAAGAATATATAAAAATGTAAGTTCATAGAAGATATATTACGATTTTGTATTCTGTTTATTCTCAAGTAAACTAGAAAAAACAGATTCACGAGTTTTGACTGCTTCAATGGCTTTGGCTCTTCTTTCTACACCTGAAGAACTTAAACGTGACAAAAAAGGCATGAATATTGTACTCAATCAATTACTTCAAATTGTCATCGATGCTGCTAAAAGTGATCGTTATCGACGTGATGGTTTTCATGTTAGTGAACCATTAGGTGTTTTAGTCAAAATGTTCGTTGTCGAAGAACGTACATTCGATTATGTCTTATGTCATGCAGAAACACAACCATCATCAGATATGGATTCAACAATTCGTTTATTTGCATCATTACTCTTCAAATTTGCTGATGCATTAAAAGGAACAGATCGACTTGAACAATTTACATTAATAGCTTTATAATGAGAAAAGATATAATTTACATAAGTATATCCAATCAAATTCACGTTTAATATTATTCTATTATTATGAAATAGAATATATATTTGTGTTATTTCCAATATGTCATCGACAAAATTTCGGTGGATAAAGGCGATACTTGGAAAAAACCAGCATATCTATGTCTCAATACTATGAGAAAGAAAGGAAAGCAAATGACTTTTTCTTTTTCACTTGCATAACAAATTCATCGTTAGATGAAATCGACATTGTCAGCAATGATTGAAACATGTGATACAACTGATTCAGATACAATAGTGATGGTTGTAACTCGTTTTGGCACATCTGATAAACTAGTTCATCTTACTCAACAACAACAACTTGATCTTATTCCTTATTTATCTGTTCTCGTAGCACACAAAAATGATTTTTCATCAATTGAAAACGAAAATGGTGAATATGTACTGAGTCATTCAATTGAATATACTTGGTTTACGCCTATTTTTCATTCAATTACGTCCAAAAAACCATACACATTACTTGAGAAACTCTCAGAAGATAATAATGCATTGGTCGCACTTCAACTGTTTGATTATCTTGATATCAATTCATTTCCTTTGCCTCTTCTAAAATATGAAGATTTAGTCCGATCAAGTCCTAATAATATTGAGAATGATAGAAAAACGTCTTGAATATCATAAAGCAAATATCTCAGAAGCACGACAGACAGCTGCAGAATTCATCATAGCTCTTAGTAAAAATGAATATAATTTACGTAATTCATATACTGTGGAACGTATTTTTTCTTAATAAAAGCCATTCTCTCCAATCCAACTATTTTTAGCACACGATTTCATCACCATACGTTAGTAGTGACGAAAGAGTATTGTTATTCGTCCTTTTCTAAAATTCAACGAGGTTTATTGCCTACTATTCAACAAATTGGTCAACACGGCAAGATCGATACCTTTATCTATCTGGACGACGATGATAAACCTCTTTCTGACGATTTTCAAAAGGCATTTGTTTGGAGAGGTATTTATCTGCCAATAGAAGAGAATCGTATGGAGTCTTCATATGCAAGTCCCCAAAAGACATCTTTTTTTCAATGAATCTTCTGGAAAAATATACATTCATTCACTACATGGTATTTCTATCTGGCAATTATTGTATCTAATCAAGATTATTTGCGATCTGTTTTAGACTTGAATGCATGCATACGAGCATTGTTTATTTCAATGGAAAGTCTTGTCAATAAGGAGTTACCTGTCTATCAACACAAAGAAAATCGAAAGAACAATGAGGCACAACTAGCTCGACCAGGACATTCCAATACATTACCTAAACGACCTAAGATCGACAAATTCAAGCATCGATTTGGTCCAAAAGCTCAAAAATACCGATAAAAACGCTTTTCAAAAGAGAATTTATTTTCTTATTGAATAAATATAATACTCATGACAATTCTTTTAAAGTTTTTTGTACTGTCTTACACCTTTGAATATAAGACTGTTAATAA